TGCTGAAAAGCAATAACAGGAGAATCTCACAAACCTAATGTCAAATGAAAGACACTAGATCAAAGGGGGAAAAAGGTACTCCATGATTGCATTCATATAACTTTCAAAGCCTACGGTTTTAGAAGTCAGACTTTTATAACCGTTGGAGGAAGGAGAGTGGAGTCAGTGATTTGAAGATGCCTGAAAGATGAGCTACTACTATTGTTTTATTTCTAAATATGAGTGGCAGTTACATAGGTATGCTCACCCTGGGATATGTCATTGATAGGATAGATATAGATATAGAAAGAATAGATGTTTCTGATTTGGGCACTATTCTCTCTGTATTTATACTTAAATACAAAAGTGTTTTTTAAAGATGGAGTTACACGAGATGTATACTGCAAAACACATTTTAAAAACTTTTACATTTGTTACTATTACAGAAATAAAAGCCAAATAGTTTATGTGAATTTTTTAATGTACTTCTTAATTTTTACCATAAATTATCATCAGAGAAAACTGTATTCCATCCTAGGGAAACTTACAATATTGTATTTATTTGTGTTTATGTTTTAGTTCAGAACATAACCACGTGTTCTTTATCTCTGATAGTGTATAAACTTGTATACATGAATTTTGAACTCTGACCATTACCAGATTCAGTCATAAAACTGAAAAAAGTGTGTTATTCAGGTTTACTTTAGCACTCTAAATATATGTTTTCCTCTCCTCCCTCCTGAAACTGTGCTAAAATTATAGTAGAAGGATATCCTGGGGCATAAATTCACACAAATAAACCAAGTAAAGAAAAGAAAAAAAAAGAGAGTGAGAGAGAGAGAGGCAGAGATAAACTTCACAAAGAAATTTTAAATTACCAAAGAAATAAGGAAATGTGACCAAAGTATACTTTTTTTGGCTCAAGAGTAAAGTATTTACATAGACAAAAGAGCATGAACATTGACTATCGACTTAGCCAAAAATTATGACTAGATGACACCAGAAGAAAAAGAGAGAGGAGTGTTATGAGTGGCAGGTAAAGTTAAAAACACATCATGCATAATAGTTAATCAATAAATAACCTGTAAATTTGAAGAATCAAGAAATAGCAATTTAAGAATTTTAAGTAAAACAGATGAAAATAACATGAAAAAAACATCTAAAAGATTTGAAAGTGTTCTCCTCAAAGGGGAGGGAATTGGGAGTATGAAGCAATTAGTCAAGAGCCAACTTTCATAATGGGCCAAGGAAACTTGTAATTTTTAAAATATATATACTTTATTACAGAAAATTCCATTTAAAAGTTTTTTCATGTGGGGCACCTGGGTGGCTCAGTAGGTTAAGCGTCTGACTTTAGCTCAGGTCATGATCTCACAGTTCATGAGTTAAAGCCCCGTATCGGGCTCTGTGCTCACAGCTCAGAGCCTGGAGCCTGCTTCAGATTCTGTGTCTCCCTCTCTCTCTGCCCCTCCCCTGCTTGCACGCTGTCTCTCACTCTCTCAAAAATAAATAAACATTAAAACAATTTAATTTTTTATATGAATTTTACATTTTACTGAAAAAAGACACTGTTGAGGTACCTGTATTCTCCTCTTCATAGAATAACACTTATTTATCTTATTTGTATTTGTATTTCAGTTAAAACTAAAGGACCACTCATAAGTAAATTCGTTTTCAGTTTCTCAGATTGATCTCCTAGTTGTTTCAAAATCATTTTGCTCTCTCTGATTATTATTTCTGGTTTTAAAAATTACCTTGAAAATAATTCTTTAGAAGGAAAGAAAGTCTTTCAATCAGACTACGCTTAAGTCTTTTATTTTTGTTTGCACTTTAGTTAAGTCCCCACAATCTATTACTCAGTTCCTTTTTCAACTTTTATCTCTAATGTGCTTTAGTCTACTAATGGTGGGAAAGGCTTCTTTTTGCACACTCAGGCTTTTATCATCTCCAACTGCAAAACCACATATGAGAAAAGAATTAAAGAGGGCTTCAGGAGGATGTAACAGTTCAAGCACATTCATTTCATCCACTCTTAGGAGCACAGAAAGTGAACAGCTAAGGCAATAAAATGGCATAAAACTGAAAGAACCAATCAAGCAGTCGGTTAAAAAAAAAGGAAAAGATTAAGTGGTGGCAATACAAAGAGTTGTACATTAAGCACAATATAACCAAGTGTAATATATGCCTTAGCTGTGGAGATATGCTGGGTTATGACAATGTATCACTGGATATATTTATTTAGCAAAAATTGTGACAAACTATATTGGAAGGATTGGAGGAGGGGATGTACATGGTGGGGGAAAGAGGAAACAGTAATATTTAAAAGCTTGGTAAGAAAAGAATACAAAAACACTAACTCAAAAAGATAAATGCATCCCTAAATTTACTGTAGCATTATTTACAATAGCTTAATTATGGAATACACACACACACACACACACACACACACACACACACACACACTGAAATACTACTCAACCATCAAAAACAATGAAATTTGCTATTTGCAACAACATGGGTGAATCTAGAGGCTATAATGCCAAGTGAAGAAAGCCAGAAAAAGACCAAATCATACCATATGATTTCACTCATATGCGGAATTTAAGATATAAAACAAAGAAAAAAGAGAGACAAATCAAGAGGCAAACTCCTAACTATGGAGGACAAATTGATGGTAACCAGAGGGAGGTGGGTAGAGGGATGGATGGGTGAAGTAGGAGAAGGGGAATACATGTACACTTAGTGTGATGAGCACTGAGTAATGTATAGAATTGTTGAATCACTAGATTGTACACTTGAAATTAATATATTAGTTAGCTATACTGGAAATAAAATTTATTTATTTTTATTTTTTAATTTTATTTATTTATTTATTTTGAGAAAAAGAGAGAGAGAGACAGTGAGCAGGGAAAAAGCAGGGAAGGAAAGAGAGAATCTCAAGCAGGTTCTGCACTGTCAGCACAGAATCCGACACAGGGCTCAATCCCACCAACCGTGAGATCATGACCTGAGTAGGTATCAAGAGCCAAAAAAAAAAAAAAAAAGTCTGATGCTTAGCCAGTTGAGCCACCAAGAGGCCCCTGAAATTAAAATTACTTTTAAAATGTCAAGCCTGGTAAGAAGTCAAATATTAAGATGGAATTTTATAAATCAATATAAAACTCTATAGATATGTTATTTAGAAAAGCAGATGTAAAAACTCAAGAAAGTAACAAAAGGGTGTTAAAAGTGGTTCCTTCCAAGGATGAAAAATTGGAAAAAAAAAGGGATGGGTCAGAATATTGCAGTTTTCTTATGTTTATAAAATGAAATGAAGTTTTAAAATATATATTACTTTCATAAAACTGAATTATAAATTTTAGGATCAGGTGAATTTTTAAATTTTTTAATGTTTTATTTATTTCTGAGAGAGAGAGAGAGAGACAGCATGAGTAGGGGAGGGTCAGAGAGAGAGGGAGACACAGAATCTTCAACAGGCTCCAGGCTCTGAGCTGTCAGCACAGAGCCTGATGCGGGGCTCGAACCCACAAACTATTGAAATCATGACCTGAGCTGAAGTTGGACGCTTAACCGACTGAGCCACTCAGGCGCCCCAGGTGAATTTTTAATCTACTGGATTTTTAAAAGATTTGCAGAAAAGGCTAGTCTCCTCTTAGACCAAAACCACCTATATCTTTAAGTATTATATTTTAGTAAATACAATGGAACCCAGAGAAGTTCTTTTCCAAATATATTTTGATCTTCTACAGTGTCTGAGGAGCTTTCATTTTTTTTTTATTAAAAAAAAAGTTAATGTTTATGTGTTATTTTGAGAGAGAGACACCACACAGAGCATGAATGGGAAGGGGCAGAGAGAGAGGGAGACACAGAATCCCAAGAAGGCTCCAGGCTCTGCACCATCAGCACAAAGTCAGATGTGGGGCTCAAACCCATAAACCATGAGATGATGACCTGATCCGAAGTCAGATGCTCAACCAACTGACCACCTAGGAGCCCAAAGGGGTTTTCACTTCTAACCTCCCACATGTTTAATATTCACTCTTATCTCTTCATTCCTCAGAATTCTGCTATATTGTTAATATTTTTAATATAATCATTTCTTATATATAAAAATAGGAATAACATTGGTCTATAAAAAAGTTCCTTAAGAATGTCAATATAGGGGTGCCAAGGTGACTCAGTCGGTTGAGCGTCTGACTTTGGCTCAGGTCATGATCTCACAGTCTGTGAGTTCGAGCCTGCATCAAGCTCTGTGCTGTCAGCTCAGAGCTTTATGTATAACACTCAAAAAAAAAAAAAAAAAAAAAAGTCTAAGAGACTCAGACCAGTATGGAAATAATGATGCCAAATTGACAAAAAGGTGATTTTTCAAAGCAAGACTAGATCCTGATTCTTGGGGGCAGCTCCTGGCTCCACTAATTATTAGCTGTGTGACTTTGAGTAAAATCTATGTGCAGAATCTTCACCATGGGCAACTGAAGTTAAATAATTTTAATAACATAAAGCTCTTATACAAGTGCTTGGCACCTGGTAATTTAATCAACATAAATAGCCTGATATTAGTGTTCTAAGATAATTTAAGCCTAAACAAAGTTCTTATCAAGTATGCTAGCAAACCACATCATACTTACTCTCTTTTGTTTTATTTTAGGGAAATATTCAGCAGCCACAGGTAAGTTTTGCATTCATTAACTAATGCCCTTTACCATTTAGAATTATGAGAAATATTTGTAAACTCTACCTTAAATAAATTCAGCTTTTCACATATAAGAGCACTTATTTGCTTTAACTTCTCTCTTCCCTTCTCAGAAACTTATTTAGCATAAAAATTTAATTGTACTCATAAAATGAAAAAGAATAAATATAATCTAACTGTAAAGATAAAAACATTTTGTCCTTGGCTCATAGTACCAAGTATTGGAAGGTTTGGAGTGCTATTTCTTGACAGAGATAAGAATGTTAAGAAGATCCTTAATCTTCTATCAATCAAACCACCCTAATTTATTTGTGTTTGTATTTTAGGAAATATTGAGAGCATCCTCAGTAAGTTTCATTACCATTTCTCAGTTTGAATGGTTTCTGAACACCAAAGTGTATGAAGACCTTTTGCAAAATCTGATCATTAGCATATCAAGCTCTGCAAATCTTAATATTACTTCTCATTCCACATTGTTTTCCATTAGTCAGATTTTGTAGATTACTGATAGTATCCAGGAAATTTTAATTGCATTGATTAACTAAAAGAGGAAAAACAGAAACCTTAACAACCATTTGAAAAAATATACATTCTAGGGGCGCCTGGGTAGCTCAGTTGGTTAAGCATCCAGCTTTGGCTCAGGTCATGATCTCACCCTTCATCAGTGCAAGCCCCACCATTGGGCTCTGTGCTGACAGCTCAGAGCTTAAAGCCTGCTTTGGATTCTGTGTCCCCATCTCTCTCTTCCCTCCCCCTCTCATTCTCTGTATATATACACACACATGTATATATATTCTAGGGTGCCTGGGTGGCTCAGCCAGTTAAGCATCTGATTCTTGGTTTCCCCTCAGGTCATGATCTCACAGTTCCTGAGTTCCAGGCCCACATCAGGCTCTGTGCTGATGGTGCAGAGCCTGCTTCAGATTCTCTCTCTTTCCCTCTCTCTCTGCCCCTCCACTGCTCACTCCCTCTCAACATAAATAAACTTAAAATTTTTTTAATAAATAAAAATATACATTCTATATATTATAAATGAGGAGAGTCCAGTTTGGAGAAAAGAGAGAGGGGTGATAGAAAAGAGCATAATGTTCTATCTACTACTTTCCCTAAGTAATTTCAACCTCATCTTTGCACTGGATAGAATACAAAAGTAGCTAAAGCCTGTATCTTCAAAAGCAAGATCCACAAAAGAGAAAGCACAATGAAAGCCACCAAAGGGGTCAACTTTTTTAAAATGATAGGAAACTTTCACCTCTTTTAATTATCTTTTAAAAAACATAATTATCTCCCATTTAAAAAATTATTTGAATATCTCTTCTGTGAGGTGCCCATTGAAGTCCATGACTGACAACTTTATCCTAATCCTGAAGTCTATCTTAATTCCTTTATTTTATACCTTTCTATGTCCTAAACATACTCCATTTTTTTTTTTCCTTTTAGGTTTTAGCTCTTAGCAGAAACTTGATCATTCATTAGTAAATTACCTTCTAAAGTCCATTAGATTTGAATTACTTTTTTCCCCTTATTTCTGTTTCTGGTTCCTGTTGGGAAAAATTATTTATTCCTTAGCAATCACTGCATTCAATAAATAGAACAGAATCTTAAGGAAAAATTAAAGTACATTAATTAATAGATGGTACTAATAAGAGAAATGCTGTCCTAGGTAGTTAATTCATGTAACAGAAAATACAAATTAAATATGCAATGACTTAGTATCTATTGTATATGAGATTAACAAAACCCAATGTTGGTGGGATTATAAGGGAATAGATATGTTATTCATGTTTTTAAGAGAAAATACTGTATACTAAGACAAAATCTAGCAAAAATCTTAAACACATAGCTCTAGAGGAATAGCTAAGCAGAATGTAGTTAATAAATCCAACATACTTTATATTATAATTAGGAAAAACAATTGTGAAGATGGTTAAGTCTAGACTCTACAATGTAATAAAGAAAAGAATTTAAACTTACATGTACACTGTAATCAAAATAGGAAAACATGCACCCCAATGTTTATAGCAGCATTATCAACAATAGCCAAAATTATGGAGTAGCCAAATATCCATTGACTGATGAATGGACAAAGAAGATGTGGAATAAATTGTGTCTTTATAAACTTTGGAAACCTTATAGTGTTTTATTATATTGTGAATTCATACAAAAGATTTTTTAATTTTGTTTTATATTTGAGGCTTTCCTCTAACATTTTTATTGTTCAACCAATTACATACATAATTCAAAATGTTATGGAATTATAGTAAGGTACATCAATTTCCTACAGCAGCTTTTGACTCATTAGAATTACTCCTTAATATTTCATATTCTACTATGTCATTTTTATTTGTTTTTTATTGATTCTATTATTTATCTGTAAGGTACTTGTTTTTTTTATTTTAAATTTTTTGACATCCAAAAAACTGTACATAGTTTACATACACAACTTGATGAGAGATAACTATACATCCATGAAACCATCACCACAATCTGTACCATTAACCATCAAGAGTTTCATCTCTTTTATCTTTTTTTTTGTAATAAGAACAATTAACATAAGATCTACCCTTGAAACACATTTTGAAGCATACAATCAAAGTGACTATAGCCACTATGCTGTATAGATCTCTCAGACTTATTCATTTTGTATAACCAAAAGTTTGTACCCTTTGATTAATTAATATCTCCCCATTTCTCCTTCTTCCTAGCCCACGGTAATCATCATTCCACTCTTGCTATTATGAGCTTGACGATTTTAGATTTTACATGTAATTAAGATCATGCAGTATTTGTACTTGTATGTCTGACTTCACTTAGCATAATGCCCTCCAATTTTATTCATGTCACAGACAAGAGGACTTTCTTCTTTCTAATGGCCAAATAATACTCAATTGTATACATATTCCATATTTTCTTTATCCATTCATCTATCATTTATATTGCATCCATGAATTGGCTATGGTGAATAATGCTGCAGTAAACATGGGAGTGCAGGGTTCTCTTCGTGATACTGATTTCTTTTAGATATATATATAGAGAGAACTAGGCTTGATGGATCATTTGGTGGTTTCATTTTTTGTTTCTTGAGAAAACTCCATAGTGTTTTCCATAGCGGATGTAGAATTTACATTCCCACCAACAGTGTATGAAGGCTCCCTTTTCTATATATCCTTACTAACACTAATTGTCCTTTTTTTATATCCATCAGAACAGATGTGAAGTGCTATCTCATTGTGGTTTTTATTTGCATTTCCCTGATGATTAGTGATGTTGAAAACATTTTCATACATGCTGATCATTTGTATGTCTTCTTTTAAGAAACGTCTGTCTAGGTCCTTTGTTTTTAATCTGGTTATTTTTGGTTGTTATTGTTGTTGAGTTGTATGAGTTCCTTTAATATATTATACATTAACCCTTTATCAGATACATAATTGGCAAAATTTTCTCCTAATTTGTAGATTAAAATTGCTTCATTATTTTACATGTGGATATCCACTTTTCCCAACATCACTTATTGAAGAAACTATTCTTTCCCCCACTATGTATTCTTGGTTCTTTTGTCAAAGATCTGTTGACCATATATGGGTGAGATTATTTCTGGACTCTATTCTGTTCCATTGGTCTGTATATCCATTTTTATACCAGTATCACACTATAGCTTTGTATTACATTTGGAAATCAGAAAGTGTATTCCTCCAACTTTGTTATTGCCCAAAATTGCTTTGGTTTTTTGAGGTCTTCTGTAGTTCCATATCAATTTAGCATTATTTTCTGGAAAAAAAAATGTCAGTGGGATTCTGATGGGGATTAAACTGAATCTGTAGATCAGATTGTTTTGGGTAGTACAGACATTTTAACAATATTAATTTTTCCAATCCATGAAAATAAATATCCTTCCTTTTATTTATGTCTTCTTTAATTCCTCTCATCAGTGTTTTGTGGTTTTCACTGTATACGTATTTTTACCTTCTTGATTAAGTTTATTCCTACGTATCTTTTTTTAATACAATTGTAAATGATATAGTTTTATTAATTTCCTTTTCAGGTAAATCATTAATGTATACAAGTGCAACTGATTTTTGTATGTTGATATTCTATCCTGTAACTTTGCTGACTTCATTTATTAATATTAATAGCTTTCTGAAGAGTTAGTGAAGTCTTTAGGGTTTTCAACATACTGGCTCATATCATCTGTAAGCAGAGACCATATTACTTCTTCCTTTCAGATTTGGACACCTTCCATTTCCTTTTATTTTCTATTGCTCTGGCTAGGACTTCTAGTACTATGTTAAATAGAAGTGGTGATAAAGAGGGGATCCTGGGTTGGTTAAGCATCCAACTTCAGCTCATCACTGTGAGTTTGAGCTTCCCATTGGACTCTCTGTTGTCAAAATGGAGACCACTTTGGAGCCTCTGTCTCCCTCTCTCTCTGCCCCTTCCTCTATACTCTCTCTCTTTAAAAAATAAATAAACATTTTTTAAAAAAAATAAGCAGTGAAAAAGAGAGGGGAAAATCAAGAGGTGTCCATCAAAAGGGGCAAAGTTTCAGTTATGCAAAATAATTCAGTTCTAGAAATTCACTGTATAACCTAAGGCCTATGATTGACAATATTTATTGTATACTTAAAATTTTGCTAAGTAAATCTTATGTTAAGTGCTTTTATGACAAAAATAGGAAAAAATATATATACATATAAATTTTTTGATCAAGCATTTTATTCTATTCTTTCTCCACCTTCTACCTTTCTTCTCTTTCTTATCTTCCTCTCTCTTTATCTTGATTTAGCTTTATATCTTTTTTATTATCTGTTTGGATTTCTTTTCTCCCCTTCTATGTTTCTCTTTTTATGGGATCAGATCCACTCCCCTTTCCTTTTTTCCCCAGGGTTACTTCAACAAACAAATTAAAGCACATCTATGAAGGTCCAAACATTCCACCACTACAAACAAGAAGGAGCTCTACAGAAGACGGAGTTCTGCAGATCTCTGCAGTGGGATTTAGTAGCCAAAACACAACAACAAAGTGCATACAAAATATTCCAAAAACACTTCCATGAGTGCCAGGCCCTGGCAATATATGACCCCTTTTTAATATAGTAGTACTCTAAGGTTCAGGACACATAACAAACTTTTAAAACACACAAAAGACAGAAACATAGCCAAAATGACAAAATGGAAAAACTCTCCCCAAAAGAAAGTGCAAAAAGAAATCACAGACAGAGAATTGCTCAAAACAGATACAATATCTGCACAAGAATTTATAATAACAGCCATCAGACTACTAGCTGGTCTTCAAATAAGCATAAAAGACACCAGAGAAACTCTTACTGCAGAGAGCAAAACTAGGAAC